ATCTGGAGCCCAAGGGATCTCCGTGCGGTATATACTTAGTGCCTCCCTTACTTGCAGAAGATGGACGGGAAGCCTGCAGGACAATACTGTATAACCTTATAGTTGCGTACCTATGCTCATCATCAGTAATATGACTGCACTTATAATACCGTATGTATGTATGTATGTATGTATGTCTATGCCATCTCGCCGTCCATCGTCTCCCATGGCTCGCCGCAGATCTATATCACCCTCCAGGACCAATTCTATAGCCAGCAGCTTCTACTACTACTGCTGCTTCTCCAGCAACCACCAGCCTGTAAACAAACAGTCAGCCTTACGCTGGCCTCTAGCGAACAAGCAGCAGCTCGACTGTGACGGAGGATGCAGTAGCTCGTCTAGCAGGGCGGCAAGCATCGCAGCGATGCGAGGGCGATGCCGCGGATTGGCTGCAGCGATGGCCAGGTACCCCGGCCCTATGCAGCGGTACTTCTCATTTGCGGACGATCACCGCCAACCGAGAAGTACCTCGCCATGGCTGCTGGGTCGCTCTGCATAGTTCAGTTCCACCCCGTACAAAACCCTCTCAGGTTATTTACTTTCTTTACATACAAAAGGGATACCGAAAGGGAAAGTTTCTTCTTCTTTTGCGTCTGCTTCTTTTTTGCAGTTTTATTCAATTTCTCTGCTTCTTTTTCTTTTTTGCATACAAGCTGGCCGTTGCCCATTGCAACAGACGGACGGCGTCGCTTTTTCTCTTCGTCTTCTTCTTCACGATCTCTTCTTCTTCTTCGTCTTCTTTGCTCTCTTGCATTCTTCATTCTTCACGGACGACGACGCCCTCGCTGCTGCTGCTGCTGTTGCTACCGGCATATGTTGACCCCCTCTGCCCTCACCATCACCACCACCAGCACCACCACCTCCCCTACGACAACGACAACGACCACCTTTACGACCACCACCATGGCAAACTAAAGACCCTCGCTGCAGACGGTCTTCTCTTCATTCCGGCTCGATTGGACCTGGGGATTCTCCCGGGACGCTGCTACGACCGGGATCTCACCTCTCTCTATACGACGACCTCGCTAGACGACCACCAAACAACCACCAGCAAATCTCTGCAGCAAAGCAGACAGACAGACAGACAGACAGAGCTGGTCGACGAAGGCTGTATACACAGTCTTGAGAATTCTTGCTGCAGACAGACACTGCTGGGTTACACTGGGATAGACAGCTGACTGGCCACCATGGAGCAGTCCTCGCCGTTGGCTGCCATGCATCCTCCCTCTGTCCACTTCGGCCACTGCTTCAGAGCAGAGCCTGCCAGCTCCTTCACCCAGTTCCCGGCCGCCGTGCCCTCCTTTGGCCCCGAGAGCTTCAACTTCAGGGATCTTTCCATGAAGCGGGCGAGGGCCGACTACTTCACGGCAGTCAAGCCTGCTGCTGCTGCTGTGCGGCCCTCGCCCACCGTCTCCCTCGCCGCAGACCTCTCCCAGAACTTCCACATCGACCAGAGGTGCGTCCTACTACTGCTGCTGCTGCTGCCCTCCCCAGACAAACAAAACATATCCTGTCTCTTGTTTGCTCGTCCTTTTCTTGTCTTGTTTTAAGCTGACTGACTCTCCCTTTCAGTCCGCAGTTGGCTACGCCTCGCAGGTCGCTGTTTTCAGCTAATCTGTTCGGCTCGGATAATGGTACATATAAACCCCATATCCGCCCATTGTGTCTCAACTATATATCTAAAACGAATGAGATGCCCTATGGGGTATAGTGTATAGAGCTAACTGTGAAGTAGATACAATAACAACCCCGCCAATACCCTCTTCTCCTGCTCGCACAGATATCATGGAGATGTCTCCTCTCCCGCACAAGGCCCCTTCGGCATGAAT